GTCTTTCTATAGGTGGGAAGGCTAACAACACTGGTGGACCTGGTGTGGCCACAACAACTTGGGGCCAAACTGCTCTAAAGACAAGTTGAGATGGTTGTGGACTTGAGGAAGAATTGCAGCCACACTCACCACCACCCCCTCCCCCCCTCCATCGCCCTGTTAAAGACTCCCCAGTCAAAAAAATTGGTGGAGTCCTTTCGCTTGCTGGGCACTAGTTCTCCCTCAAGTGGGGAAAACTGAACGTCAGCTCCCTCGCCGAGAGAGGATGCACTTCCTACGGCAGCTGAAGAGATTCAGCCTGCCGGAGGCAATGGCGGTTGCAATCCTATAGAGCGATCATTAAATCCGTCCTCAAATCCTCCGTAACCGCCAAATTGCTCTAAAGACAAGTTGAGATGGTTGTGGACTTGAGGAAGAATCGCAGCCACACTCACCACCCCCCCCCCCGTCCCCCTCCATCGCCCTGTTAAAGACTCCCCAGTCAAAAAAATTGGTGGAGTCCTTTCGCTTGCTGGGCACTAGTTCTCCCTCAAGTGGGGAAAACTGAACGTCAGCTCCCTCACCGAGAGAGGATGCACTGCCAGAGACAATGGTGGTTGCAATCCTATAGAGCGATCACTGAATCCGTCCTCAGCTCGTCTGTAACCGCCAAATTGCTCTAAAGACAAGTTGAGATGGTTGTGGACTTGAGGAAGAATTGCAGCCACACTCACCACCCCCCCCCCCCCCCCCCCCCATCGCCCTGTTAAAGACTCCCCAGTCAAAAAAATTGGTGGAGTCCTTTCGCTTGCCGGGCACTAGTTCTCCCTCAAGTGGGGAAAACTGAACGTCAGCTCCCTCGCCGAGAGAGGATGCACTTCCTACGGCAGCTGAAGAGATTCAGCCTGCCGGAGACAATGGCGGTTGCAATCCTATAGAGCGATCATTAAATCCGTCCTCAGCTCCTCCGTGACCGCCAAATTGCTCTAAAGACAAGTTGAGATGGTTGTGGACTTGAGGAAGAATTGCAGCCACACTCACCCCCCCCCCCTCCATCGCCCTGTTAAAGACTCCCCAGTCAAAAAAATTGGTGGAGTCCTTTCGCTTGCTGGGCACTAGTTCTCCCTCAAGTGGGGAAAACTGAACGTCAGCTCCCTCGCCGAGAGAGGATGCACTGCCTACGGCAGCTGAAGAAATTCAGCCTGCCAGAGACAATGGTGGTTGCAATCCTATAGAGCGATCACTGAATCCGTCCTCAGCTCGTCCGTGACCGCCAAATTGCTCTAAAGACAAGTTGAGATGGTTGTGGACTTGAGGAAGAATTGCAGCCACACTCACCACCCCCCTCCCCCTCCATCGCCCTGTTAAAGACTCCCCAGTCAAAAAAATTGGTGGAGTCCTTTCGCTTGCTGGGCACTAGTTCTCCCTCAAGTGGGGAAAACTGAACGTCAGCTCCCTCGCCGAGAGAGGATGCACTTCCTACAGCAGCTGAAGAAATTCAACCTGCCGGAGACAATGGTGGTTGCAATCCTATAGAGCGATCATTAAATCCGTCCTCAGCTCCTCCGTGACCGCCAAATTGCTCTAAAGACAAGTTGAGATGGTTGTGGACTTGAGGAAGAATTGCAGCCACACTCACCACCACCCCCCTCCCCCTCCCATCGCCCTGTTAAAGACTCCCCAGTCAAAAAAATTGGTGGAGTCCTTTCGCTTGCCGGGCACTAGTTCTCCCTCAAGTGGGGAAAACTGAACGTCAGCTCCCTCACCGACGAGAGGATGCACTGCCAGAGACAATGGCGGTTGCAATCCTATAGAGCGATCAATGAATCCGTCCTCAGCCCGTCCGTGACCGTCCGGTCCGCCGCCGCCGCTTGCCGCAAGGACGAGGGCGGACTGCGGCGGAATCATCCACACCGCTGATTAGGTGATTGCCTGCAATCTACCAAAAAAAAAAGCATCGAGGACCTGGACACCACGAGGACCATGAGGCCGGGGAGGAAGATTCGTGGCCGATCCCTCTCTCGCCCCGGACGCTGGTCTGTTCCAGCTACTCAACGTGCGGCAATCAGGGCCAAAACCTCACGCCACAAAAAAACAGTTATGCTTTACGTCCGTTCGCTGGCCTGTTGAACAAGGCCAAGGGCTTACACTGATTGATTTAAAAAAAAAAAACCATTTTATCAACGTAATGACACCGTGCCGATATTAACTATGTTAAGCTATTTGTATTTTTTATTTTGTTTTTAATTATATCTTAAAGCTATTTTATATTCGATATTTATTCAATTTTATATACGCTTCAGCCCCTTGTGTGTTAGTTAGACTTTTAACCCTTATTATTATAGTTAGACTTGTTTAAAACTTATTAAAGATTTTAGATTCCTGTATGTTGAATGTATGCACCCATCCTGCCAAAGTAAATTCCGTGTCGGTGTGGACTTTCATGGCGAATAATAAAACCCTTTCTGATTCTGATAGAGGACTGCAGATCTCGGGCAGGTAGTCACCCATCCTTGTGTAGGTCGTGGTGGTGAACTAATTCAGTAGTCACCCATCATTGTGTAGGTCGTGGTGGTGACTAACTCAGTAGTCACCCATCCTTGTGTAGGTCGTGGTGGTGGACTATCTGAAGTAGTCATCCATCATTGTGAAGGTCGTGGTGGTGGACTATCTCAGGTAGTCACCCATCATTGTGTAGGTCGTGGTGGACTATCTCAGTAGTCACCCATCCTTGTGTAGGTCGTGGTGGTGACTAACTCAGTAGTCACCCATCATTGTGTAGGTCGTGGTGGACTATCTCAGTAGTCACCCATCATTGTGTAGGTCGTGGTGGTGGACTAACTCAGTAGTCACCCATCCTTGTGTAGGTCGTGGTGGTGGAGTATCTCAGTAGTCACCCATCATTGTGTAGGTCGTGGTGGTGGACTATGTCAGTAGTCACCCATCATTGTGTAGGTCGTGGTGGTGGACTAATTCAGTAGTCACCCATCCTTGTGTAGGTCGTGGTGGTGGAGTATCTCAGTAGTCACCCATCCTTGTGTAGGTCGTGGTGGTGGACTATGTCAGTAGTCACCCATCATTGTGTAGGTCGTGGTGGACTATCTCAGTAGTCACCCATCATTGTGTAGGTCGTGGTGGACTATCTCAGTAGTCACCCATCGTTGTGTAGGTCGTGGTGGTGACTATCTCAGTAGTCACCCATCATTGTGTAGGTCGTGGTGGTGGACTAACTCAGTAGTCACCCATCATTGTGTAGGTCGTGGTGGTGGACTAATTCAGTAGTCACCCATCCTTGTGTAGGTCGTGGTGGTGGACTAACTCACTAGTCACCCATCCTTGTGTAGGTCGTGGTGGACTAACTCAGTAGTCACCCATCCTTGTGTAGGTCGTGGTGGACTAACTCAGTAGTCACCCATCATTGTGTAGGTCGTGGTGGACTATCTCAGTAGTCACCCATCATGGTGTAGGTCGTGGCGGTGGACTAACTCAGTAGTCACCCATCCTTGTGTAGGTCGTGGTGGACTATCTCAGTAGTCACCCATCCTTGTGTAGGTCGTGGTGGTGGACTAACTCAGTAGTCACCCATCCTTGTGTAGGTCGTGGTGGACTATCTCAGTAGTCACCCATCCTTGTGTAGGTCGTGGTGGTGGACTAACTCAGTAGTCACCCATCCTTGTGTAGGTCGTGGTGGACTATCTCAGTAGTCACCCATCGTTGTGTAGGTCGTGGTGGTGGACTATCTCAGTAGTCACCCATCCTTGTGTAGGTCGTGGTGGTGGACTATCTCAGGTAGTCACCCATCATTGTGTAGGTCGTAGTGGTGGAGTATCTCAGGTAGTCACCCATTATTGTGTAGGTCGTGGTGGTGGACTATCTCAGGTAGTCACCCATCGTTGTGTAGGTCGTGGTGGTGGACTATGTCAGTAGTCACCCATCCTTGTGTAGGTCGTGGTGGTGGACTAAATCAGTAGTCACCCATCATTGTGTAGGTCGTGGTGGTGGAGTATCTCAGTAGTCACCCATCCTTGTGTAGGTCGTGGTGGTGGACTAACTCAGTAGTCACCCATCATAGTGTGGTCGTGGTGGGTGGACTGGCTCGCTGGTGGGTGGACTGGCTGTCTGGTGGGTGGACTGGTTGGCTGGTGGGTGGACTGTCTGGCTGGTGGGTGGACTGGCTGGTGGGTGGACTGGCTGGTGGGTGGACTGGCTGGCTGGTGGGTGGACTGGCTGGCTGGTGGGTGGTGAATGGACTGGCTGGTGGGTGGGTGGACTGGTTGGCTGGTGGACTGGCTGTCTGGTGGGTGGACTGGTTGTCTGGTGGACTGGTTGGCTGGTGGGTGGACTGGCTGGATGGTGGGTGGACTGGTTTGCTGGTGGACTGTCTGGTGGGTGGACTGGCTGGCTGGTGGGTGGACTGGCTGGCTGGTGGACTGTCTGGTGGGTGGACTGGTTGGCTGGTGGGTGGACTGGCTGGCTGGTGGGTGGACTGGCTGGTGGGTGGACTGGCTGGTGGGTGGACTGGCTGGCTGGTGGGTGGACTGGTTGGCTGGTGGGTGGGTGGACTGGCTGTCTGGTGGGTGGCCTGGCTGGCTGGTGGGTGGACTGGCTGGTGGGTGGACTGGCTGGTGGCTGGACTGGTTGTCTGGTGGACTGGTTTGCTGGTGGGTGGACTGGCTGGTGGGTGGGTGGGTGGACTGGCTGGTGGGTGGAGTGGCTGTCTGGTGGGTGGACTGGCTGGTGGGTGGGTGGACTGGTTGGCTGGTGGGTGGACTGGCTGGTGGGTGGGTGGACTGGTTGGCTGGTGGGTGGACTGGCTGGTGGGTGGGTGGACTGGCTGGCTGGTGGACTGGCTGGTGGGTGGGTGGGTGCACTGGTTGGTGGGTGGTCTGGCTGGTGGGTGGTCTGGCTGGTTAGTGGGTGGACTGGCTGGTGGGTGGTCTGGCTGGTTAGTGGGTGGACTGGCTGGTGGGTGGGTGGACTGGCTGGTGGGTGGACTGACTGGCTGGTGGGTGGACTGGCTGGCTGGTGGACTGGCTGGTGGGTGGGTGGGTGGACTGGCTGAGCCCTAGGAGGTGAAGTAGGCACTCTGCATCGAGTACAGATGCTGGATGGGATTGCCCAGCTTGGCGCGGGCAGCAGCAGCAGCAGCAGCGGCAGGAGGCAGAGGAAGTGGCTCGGCGTGACCCACAATGCAGTGCTGCGGCTTCCTGTCTCCCCCGCAGTGGAAGTAGCTCGCGTGGCCTCGCAGACACAACAACAACAAACACACACAACAACAACAATAACAATAACCACCAGAGACACAACAACAACAAACACACACAACAACAACAATAACAATAACCACCAGAGACACAACAACAACAAACACACACAACAACAACAACAATAACCACCAGAGACACAACAACAACAAACACACACAACAACAACAATAACAATAACCACACAACAACAACAACAACAAAAACACACAACAACAACAACAATAACCACCAGAGACACAACAACAACAAACACACACAACAACAATAACAACCACACAACAACAACAACAACCACACACAGACACAACAACAACAAACACACACACAGACAACAACAACAATAACCACCAGAGACACAACAACAACAAACACACACAACAACCACAATAACCACCAGAGACACAACAACAACAAACACACACAACAACAACAATAACAACAATAACCACCAGAGACACAACAACAACAAACACACACAACAACAATAACAACCACACAACAACAACAACAATAACCAGAGACACAACAACAACAAACACACACACAGACAACAACAACAATAACCACCAGAGACACAACAACAACAAACACACACAACAACAACAATAACCACCAGAGAAACAACAACAACAAACACACACAACAACAACAACAATAACCACCAGAGACACAACCACAACAACCACACACAACAACAACAACCACACAACAACCACACAACAACCACACAACAACAACAATAACCACCAGAGACACAACCACAACAATCACACACAACAACAACAACCACAACAACCACACACAGACACAACCATAACAACCACACACAACAACAACAACCCCAACACACAGACACAACCACAACAACCACACACAACCACAACAACCACACACAGACACAACCACAACAACCACACACAACAACAATAACCACCAGAGACACAACCACAACAACCACACACAACAACAACCACACACAGACACAACAACCACAGACAACAACAACCACACACAGACACAACCACAATAACCACACACAGACAACAACCACAACAACCACACACAGACCACAACCACAACAACCACACACAGACACAACCACAACAACCACACACAGACACAACCACAACAACCACACACAGACACAACCACAACAACCACACACAGACACAACACAACACACCACAACACACAGACACAACCACAACAACACACACAGACACAACCACAACAACCACACACAGACAACAACCACAACAACCACACACAGACACAACCACAACAACCACACACAGATACAACAACAACACACAACCACACACAGACACAACCACAACAACCACACACAGACACAACCACAACAACCACACACAGACACACAAACACAACAACCACACACAACCACAACAACCACACACAGACACAACCACAACAACCACACACAGACACAACCACAACAACCACACACAGACACAACAACAACAATCACACACAGACACAACCACAACAACCACACACAGACACAACACAACAACCACACACAGACACAACAACAACAACCACACACAGACACAACCACAACAACCACACACAGACACAACAACAACAATCACACACAGACACAACCACAACAACCACACACAACAACAACAACAACAACAACCACACACAGACACAACCACAACAACCACACACAACAACAACAACCACACACAGACACAACCACAACAACCACACACAGACACAACCACAACAACCACACACAGACAACAACAACAAAAACACACAGACACAACCACAACAACCACACACAGACACAACCACAACAATCACACACAGACACAACCACAATAACCACACACAGACACAACCACAACAACCACACACAGACACAACCACAACAACAACACACAGACACAACCACAACAATCACACACAGACACAACCACAATAACCACACACAGGCAACAACCACAACAACCACACACAAACACAACCACAACAATCACACACAGACACAACCACAACAACCACACACAGACACAACCACAACACACAGACACAACCACAACAACCACACACAGACACAACCACAACAACCACCACAACTGGTGCACGTGGCTGTGAGATGTTAACTACCTCGCCTGGTGTGCAGGAGGTCGTGGGTTCGATCCCGACCCTGACGATGCCTGCTGTCACTCACCCACTCACCCCCCCACTCACCCACCCACTCACCCACCCACTCACCCACCCACTCACCCCCCCACTCACCCCCCCCACTCACCCTTCCACTCACCCTCCCACTCACCCCCCCCCCACTCACCCACTCACCAACTCACCCCCCAACTCACCCTCCCACTCACCCCCCCCACTCACCCACACACTCACCCACTCAACCTCCACTCACCCACCCACTCACTCACCCCCCCACTCACCCCCCCCACTCACCCACTCACCCCCCAACTCACCCCCCCACTCACCCACTCACCCCCCCACTCATCCACTCACGCCCCAACTCAACCCCCCACTCACCCACTCACCCACTCACCCCCCCACTCACCCACTAACCCACCCACCCTATCACTCACCCCCCCACTCAACCACTCACCCCCCCCACTCACCCTCCCACTCACCCCCCCACTCCCTCACTCATCCACTCACCCCCCCACTCACCACCTCACCACCTCACTCACCCTCCAACTCACCCCCCCCTCCACTCACCAACTCACCCCTCAACTCACCCACTCACCAAATCACCACCCACCCATCCCTCCACTCACCCCCCCACTCACCCCCCCCCACTCACCCCCCCACTCACCCCCCCACTCACCCCCCCACTCACCCACCCACCCCCCACTCACCCCCCCACTCACCATAGGGGTGAAGGTGATCCCCGGGCAGGAGCGGTGGGGTGAGACCCTCCCCAAAGGGTTCCGCTGGTGGGAAGTGAGTCTCATCCCTCCGTGATCCACCAACCCCAGCCCGCTCCTCCATCCTCACCGCCGCTGCTGCCGACACTGGGGAGTCTGCAAGGCGACACCGCTACTCACTCACCCACTCACCCACACACTCACTCACCCACACACTCACCCACTCACTCACCCACTCACCCACACACTCACTCACTCACCCACACACTCACTCACTCACCCACACACTCACCCACCCACTCACCCACTCACTCACCCACTCACTCACCCACACACTCACCCACACACTCACCCACACACTCACCCACACACTCACCCACACACTCACCCACACACTCACCCACTCACCCACTCACTCACCCACTCACCCACACACTCACCCACACACTCACCCACTCACTCACCCACTCACCCACTCACCCACTCACTCACCCACTCACCCACACACTCACCCACTCACTCACCCACACACTCACCCACACACTCACCCACTCACTCACCCACACACTCACCCACTCACCCACCCACTCACCCACTCACTCACCCACTCACTCACCCACACACTCACCCACACACTCACCCACTCACTCACCCACTCACCCACTCACTCACTCACCCACTCACTCACCCACTCACCCACTCACTCACTCACTCACCCACTCACCCACACACTCACCCACTCACTCACTCACCCACTCACCCACTCACCCACACACTCACCCACTCACCCACTCACTCACCCACTCACCCACACACTCACCCACTCACTCACTCACTCACCCACTCACCCACTCACTCACTCACTCACCCACACACTCACCCACTCACTCACCCACACACGCACTCACCCACTCACTCACCCACTCACCCACACACTCACCCACTCACCCACTCACCCACTCACCCACTCACTCACCCACTCACTCACTCATCCACTCACCCACTCACTCACCCACACACTCACACACTCACTCACTCACCCACCCACTCACCCACTCACCCACTCACCCACACACTCACCCACTCACCCACCCACTCACCCACTCACCCACTCACCCACACACTCACCCACTCACCCACTCACTCACCCACTCACCCACACACTCACTCACTCACTCACCCACTCACTTACCCACTCACTCACTCACTCACGCAAACACTCACTCACCCACTCACCCACTCACTCACCCACTCACCCACACACTCACTCACTCACTCACCCACTCACTCACCCACTCACCCACACACTCACCCACTCACCCACTCACTCACCCACTCACCCACTCACCCACTCACCCACACACTCACCCACTCACCCACTCACTCACCCACTCACCCACACACTCACTCACTCACTCACCCACTCACTTACCCACTCACTCACTCACTCACGCACACACTCACTCACCCACTCACCCACTCACTCACCCACTTTTCCACACACTCACTCACTCACTCACCCACTCACTTACCCACTCACTCACTCACTCACGCACACACTCACTCACCCACTCACCCACACACTCACTCACTCACTCACCCACTCACCCACACACTCACTCACTCACCCACTCACCCACACACTCACCCACCCACTCACTCACTCACCCACCCACTCACCCACCCACTCACCCACTCACCCACTCACTCACCCACCCACTCACCCACTCACTCACTCACCCACACACTCACCCACTCACTCACTCACCCGCTCACTCACCCACACACTCACCCACACACTCACCCACACACTCACCCACTCACTCACCCACTCACCCACACACTCACCCACTCACCCACTCACTCACCCACTCACCCACTCACCCACACACTCACTCACTCACCCACTCACCCACACACTCACTCACCCACTCACCCACTCACTCACCCACTCACTCACCCACTCACCCACACACTCACTCACTCACCCACCCACCCACCCACTCACCCACTCACTCACCCACTCACCCACACACTCACCCACACACTCACCCACTCACTCACCCACTCACCCACTCACCCATTCACTCACCCACTCACCCACACACTCACCCACTCACTCACCCACACACTCACCCACACACTCACCCACTCACTCACCCACACACTCACCCACTCACCCACCCACTCACCCACTCACTCACCCACTCACTCACCCACACACTCACCCACACACTCACCCACTCACTCACCCACTCACCCACTCACTCACTCACCCACTCACTCACCCACTCACCCACTCACTCACTCACTCACCCACTCACCCACACACTCACCCACTCACTCACTCACCCACTCACCCACTCACCCACACACTCACCCACTCACCCACTCACTCACCCACTCACCCACACACTCACCCACTCACTCACTCACTCACCCACTCACCCACTCACTCACTCACTCACTCACCCACTCACTCACCCACACACTCACTCACCCACTCACTCACCCACTCACCCACACACTCACCCACTCACCCACTCACCCACTCACTCACCCACTCACTCACTCATCCACTCACCCACTCACTCACCCACACACTCACACACTCACTCACTCACCCACCCACTCACCCACTCACCCACTCACCCACACACTCACCCACTCACCCACCCACTCACCCACTCACCCACACACTCACCCACTCACCCACTCACTCACCCACTCACCCACTCACCCACACACTCACCCACTCACCCACTCACTCACCCACTCACCCACACACTCACTCACTCACTCACCCACTCACTTACCCACTCACTCACTCACTCACGCACACACTCACTCACCCACTCACCCACTCACTCACCCACTCACCCACACACTCACTCACTCACTCACCCACTCACTTACCCACTCACTCACTCACTCACGCACACACTCACTCACCCACTCACCCACACACTCACTCACTCACTCACCCACTCACCCACACACTCACTCACTCACCCACTCACCCACACACTCACCCACTCACTCACTCACCCACCCACTCACCCACCCACTCACCCACTCACCCACTCACTCACCCACCCACTCACCCACTCACTCACTCACTCACCCACACACTCACCCACTCACTCACTCACCCGCTCACTCACCCACACACTCACCCACACACTCACCCACTCACTCACCCACTCACCCACACACTCACCCACTCACCCACTCACTCACCCACTCACCCACTCACCCACACACTCACTCACTCACCCACTCACCCACACACTCACTCACCCACTCACCCACTCACTCACCCACTCACTCACCCACTCACCCACACACTCACTCACTCACCCACACACTCACCCACCCACTCACCCACTCACTCACCCACTCACCCACACACTCACCCACACACTCACCCACTCACTCACCCACTCACCCACTCACCCACTCACTCACCTACTCACCCACACACTCACCCACTCACTCACCCACACACTCACCCACACACTCACCCACTCACTCACCCACACACTCACCCACTCACCCACCCACTCACCCACTCACTCACCCACTCACTCACCCACACACTCACCCACACACTCACCCACTCACTCACCCACTCACCCACTCACTCACTCACCCACTCACTCACCCACTCACCCACTCACTCACTCACTCACCCACTCACCCACACACTCACCCACTCACTCACTCACCCACTCACCCACTCACCCACACACTCACCCACTCACCCACTCACTCACCCACTCACCCACACACTCACCCACTCACTCACTCACTCACCCACTCACCCACTCACTCACTCACTCACCCACACACTCACCCACTCACTCACCCACACACTCACTCACCCACTCACTCACCCACTCACCCACACACTCACCCACTCACCCACTCACCCACTCACCCACTCACTCACCCACTCACTCACTCATCCACTCACCCACTCACTCACCCACACACTCACACACTCACTCACTCACCCACCCACTCACCCACTCACCCACTCACCCACACACTCACCCACTCACCCACCCACTCACCCACTCACCCACTCACCCACACACTCACCCACTCACCCACTCACCCACTCACTCACCCACTCACCCACACACTCACTCACTCACTCACCCACTCACTTACCCACTCACTCACTCACTCACGCAAACACTCACTCACCCACTCACCCACTCACTCACCCACTCACCCACACACTCACTCACTCACTCACCCACTCACTCACCCACTCACCCACACACTCACCCACTCACCCACTCACTCACCCACTCACCCACTCACCCACTCACCCACACACTCACCCACTCACCCACTCACTCACCCACTCACCCACACACTCACTCACTCACTCACCCACTCACTTACCCACTCACTCACTCACTCACTCACGCACACACTCACTCACCCACTCACCCACTCACTCACCCACTCACCCACACACTCACTCACTCACTCACCCACTCACTTACCCACTCACTCACTCACTCACGCACACACTCACTCACCCACTCACCCACACACTCACTCACTCACTCACCCACTCACCCACACACTCACTCACTCACCCACTCACCCACACACTCACCCACCCACTCACTCACTCACCCACCCACTCACCCACCCACTCACCCACTCACCCACTCACTCACCCACCCACTCACCCACTCACTCACTCACTCACCCACACACTCACCCACTCACTCACTCACCCGCTCACTCACCCACACACTCACCCACACACTCACCCACACACTCACCCACTCACTCACCCACTCACCCACACACTCACCCACTCACCCACTCACTCACCCACTCACCCACTCACCCACACACTCACTCACTCACCCACTCACCCACACACTCACTCACCCACTCACCCACTCACTCACCCACTCACTCACCCACTCACCCACACACTCACTCACTCACCCACACACTCACCCACCCACTCACCCACTCACTCACTCTCTCACCCACTCACTCACCCACTCACTCACTCACTCACCCACTCACCCACACACTCACTCACTCACTCACCCACTCACCCACACACTCACACACTCACCCACTCACTCACCCACACACTCACCCACTCACTCACTCACTCACCACTCACCCACT